ATCATAAACCGTTCACGCCACGTGCTTCCTAAGCAGAAAAAGCTTTCCCTTAAGCATTTTAGGCCCACAATGGCATTGGCAACAGCCAAATGCTACTTTAATTTGAAAGAAAGTCAACAGAAGTTGATATGTAAGGATCCGCCACGTCTTGTTACAGGGACTAAAACCAGTTTGCGTCTCGTGCGGCCTAGTCCCTTGCTGGGCAACACCCAGTCGATATTTTGGCGACGATGATTGGTCTCAGGCAGATTTGGCGTCGACGCACACTCACACAACGTGCTGACAGAACGGAGTATCGGCAACTTTTTTGGGTTTATTTAAAAAAGTATCCTATCTGCTCTGCTGAAAGTGTCAAAACAGAACTCCAACAGCTACAGAGTACGCTTCTTGAAAATGCATACCCAGGAGGTTTCGTTCTCAGGAATACCGGCGAATGCACCAAAATGCCTGCCACAATAACCGCAGAGAATAAAATTGTGTTCAGAAGACTGCCTTTATTAGGCTGTGCAAAAATCGAGCAGGTAAGAGGACGCCTGAAGACTGCGAGCACCAGCGCTTTTCCTGCGGCGAACTTATGCGTGTTCTTCACGAATTCTCCTTTCCTACGATTGAAAAGCAAAGATCTACTCCCTTTGAAGGCCATATGCATGTGCATTAACTCTTTCACTTGCTTCTATGGAGCAGGATACATTGGCTGAACAACTAGGCCCCTGAAATAGAGAGTACGTGAACACATACCGGTCTGGTTAAATGAAGGTGTAACTAAAGTGATTTTGAGCTCTATTCTCGCACACCGTGTCGATACTAACAAAGCCTTTCAAGTTGTCTACCTGACATCAATCAACTTCTCCAAGGGCTTAACCAACATATGCTAGTAACAGCCCAGACAGTGACTATACGGCTAACAACTCCAGTGCTGTGTTATCAGAAGACGCGAGCACAAGCAGTTTTACTATCGTGGCCGACCTCGACGCCAGATGGCGATCGCATATCGCCCCCCAGCCCCCAGTGACAGGCGTTCACTCCATGCAAATGACAGTACTTAGTACTCCACGTA